ATATTCTATCTAAATTCTATTTTTACAATATTTTTGTATTTCAGGTAATTTCTATCCTACTACTCCCAACCTGATTTGATTAAGCACACCAACTATGCATGACTATTCAAAAATAATTCACATTGACTTCAACAAAGCTTACTCTTGGAAGTATATAGAGCAGGGGCCTCCAACCCTCGGTCCATGGACTGGCACTGGTTTGTGGCCTGTCAGAAACTGGGCAATGCAAACAAGCAAAGCCCCATCTGTGGGATGCAGGCAGCACATGAAACCCCTCCAGTCCATGGAAAAACCACTCTCTATGGAACCAGACTCTGGTGCCCAAAAGGTTGGGGGCCATTGATATAGAGCATCGCAACTCATTTCTCTTTTGAATTTCCATTTGACCTGCTGATTGCTCTCTCTCTCTCTCTCTCTCTCTCTCTCTGTGTGCGTATGTGTGTCAGTGGTGGGTTTCAAAATGTTTTAGAACCTCTCATGTAGGTGTGGCCTACTTTGTGGGAGTGGCTTGCTGGCCATGTGACTGGGTAGGAGTGGCTTGCCGGCCATGTGACCAAGCGGGAGTGGCTTGGCAGTCATGTAATTGGGTGGGCATGGCCAACTTGTAAAATGTGGTGAAACTCACTTAACAATGCTCTTGCTTAGCAACCAAAATGTTGGCTCAGGAACTATGGCATTGAAGTGTGCAAGTCTTAAAGCTGTCAAGTTACAAGACCCTTGCACCCCTAACCCTTTAGAAAAAAATTCCCAGGGGTGTTCAAACATGACAGCTTTAAGACTTGTGGACTTCAACTCCCAGAATTCCTCCTCTCGCTCTTCATCTTGATGATGTGCAGACTGGTGGGGGGGAGGGAGCTGGAACAGGTTCTAAATGGCACTGTAGATTTGTGGAACCTCTTCTATAGAAGAGGTTAGAACTGGCAGGAACCCACCTCTGGTGTGTGTGGGGGGTATGTTTTCTACATTGAGAGCCAGTTTGATATGGTGGTAAAGACATCAAACTAGAAACTAGGAGACTGCAATTTTTAATCCTGCTTTAGTCACAAAACCAGTTGGGTGATGTTGTGCCAGTCACACTCTCTCAGTCTGGTGAAGGAGGCAATGGCAAACCACTTCTGAAAACTGCCAAGAAAACTGCAGGGATTTACTCAAGTAGTCTCAAAACCAAGCACAAAGAAAAATAAATGTTTTATATGGAACACCTGCCTGATTTCCTAGTAATGTTTTGAATAAATAGGTAGCTTAAATGGGGCTATATTCCATTGCTAGACTTTCTTGAGATTCATCCAATTACTAACCAGCAAATATGTATGATTGCTAATTAAAACACAGCAAACAGAACACAGTGTGGAACAGCAGTTTCTATAATCTTCAGACATGTAGATTTGGGATGATGAATTATATAGAGTAATATACCTTAAAACTACAATTCCATGTATAGCTTTGCTCTTACCCCTCCTGGTCTTTGGAAAAATGTTTAAAGTGTGTATTTTTTCTTAGTAAAAATTGTTTTTATACCATGGACACTAATAATAATATTTTGTATACTATTACAGAACACAAATGGAAATAGTTGCATTCAATAAGGTACTTGGTATATATGTACATACATATCTATGGGTGTGTGTGGGGAGTGGAGTGGTGTGTGTGTGTGTGTGTTTGTGTGCACACCAGAGGTGCAGCAGGTTCTGACCAGTTCTGGAGAATTTTGAGTAGTTTGGAGAACCGGTAAATACCACCTCTGACTGGCTCCGCCCCATCTATTCTCTACCTCCTGAGTCCCAGCTGATCAGGAGGAAATGAGAATTTTGCAGTAACCTTCCCCTGGAGTGGGGAGGGAATGGAGATTTTACAGTATCCTTTCCCTGCCACGCCCACCACGCATGCCATGCCCACCAAGCCACACCCACAGAACCAGTAGTAAAAAAAAATGAACCCCACCAGTGGCATATACAGAGATAAATACATACATTTCCCCCCTCCTGCTTTAATATGATTATGCCTTAACAATAAAAATATATTTGAGAAAGAAACTAAATAGCAGGAAGTGTGGCAGGAAGTTTACCTCAAAATGTAGATTATTTTCAGAAAACAAAAGTTATTCTGAAGAATAAACCATTTTTAATGATTGTAGAATGACTTGGAGATTTGAATCTTGCAAGACGTTACTGCAGTGCACGAGGCTTCCATCACTTCCTTGAGCAGATATTTTGCTCACTTTTGCTAGCATTCCTCAATTTATTGCAACTTCAGGTAATAGACAATACTGAAAGAGGTTTTTGGGTTTCACTGGTTGTCCTACACAAAAGGGAAAGGAAATTTCAGTTCTGGTAGAAAATCCGATTTTTTACAGATATATCCTAACCAATACTTGAAAAGAACCTTGGAGAGATATATCTTAATACATCAGAAAGATTACTTGGAGCATCAAACAATCTGATTCTAAGCAGTTAAGGTCTTTGGAGGACAAGAACAATAGTCTGAATACTTTCTCTATATATATGTCATTTAAGGAATTCTGGGAGCTGAAGCTCATACTTCTTAAAATTGCCAAGATTGAAAAAAACACTGTGCTAAAGTATTACTGTGGCTTAAGTTTCTATTTGTTTCAATAAATATGACAGCATTTAACTCAGATAACCTTGCATATGTGGCCAGACCAGGATATTGTGGGCTCATGTGCCAGCACAATATAATCCCATGCTGCTAATCAGCCTATTTGTCTCAAGAGGGAGAATGAATGGTGTTTCTTATTTTGAATGGAATAGTGGTTTCCGTTGTGTTCCTTGCTTGGTCGAGATGGGATTTATTTATTTTCAAATAAACAGAGCAAGTTGAAAAAAATCATGGGAGTATCTGCGTGATCCAATGAACAGACATCGATGGCCATGAATACTATTATCACATATTTTTATCTCTACCTTTTTGGATTTTGATAGTTAATGCAAAACTCATATTGAATTCTGCCTATTCAGAATTGGTTTTTAGAAACTCAGACCAAATTCAGATGTAATAAAAGAAAAATCTCCCAAATTTTCCTTGTGCCGTTTGCTTTTTTAGGAGCTATACATATTATCCCATCAGACAAATATCTGTATATTACTCTATTTTAACTCAGTTACCATAGTGGGGAATTTGCAAGGTGCTCAAGAAAACAATGAAATCACATCAGATGAGGAATAAAAAATGCGATTGAAATCAGGAATGACACCAGGTCATCATGTGTATATTTTTCTCTTGCAAATTAGAGTCATTCAAATACCTTGCAGAATTTTCTTGAAGTTCAGCCTTAACAATATGAGAATTGCCAGTTTAACACAGAAAGCTCCACCAGATTCTCATCACAAGTGAATCTCAATTAAAGAAACTAAAATGTCCATTTTGAGAACATATCCTGTCCAACTTTAGCTCAACAGGGTGAGATACTTGATTACAAGAACTGTACCATATATACCTCTGCTGGTTATGAAATTGCTTATATTGACCAACATCCTAAATTCTGCCAGAGATACCCTGCTCCTGTACAACTTAGTCCTTATGTCTAAAAATGGAACTTTGAGGAACTTCCAGCCTTGGAGTTTCCTTTCGTTGGGGCTGTTACTTGGAACCCTGACATCTTAATTTTCCAAAAGTTTAAATCTGTTCAAAAGCTATTGAACCAGAAAGGCCACATCGGACTTGGTAGAGGTAGGATATCCCATAGATATTCAGAGGTTCTCAGGACTCATATATTAATTCATCTGGTTCCTTTTGGGGAAAAACAAGCTAAATTTGCTGTAGACAACCAAACTGAATATTAGCAATAGCAACATTGAAAAGCAGGGAAAAACACATCCCCTTTCCACGACTATTAGCCACTAGTCTTAAGATGGCGTTTCTTAAACAAAAAAATCTTAAACCAGTGATTCCTTGAAAGAGACTATCTTCATGAAGATAATTGTTTGAACAATAATTCATATTTTTGTTCATAAATGCAAATTGCATTGTCACCCAACAGCTATTCTGCAAAAAGCCACTGCTGTTTTCTTTTGACTTCACTGATCCTATTTTCACTTTTACAGAATTCAGGATATATAAATGCAGACATTTATGTAAAGTCACAGAAGCTGTAGTCCAGCACATCAAGGACTGGCTGGTAATCAAGTCGATGATTTCTGGTACAAGCATTGCTCCTCTTCAAAAGCTTCAAGATTCCTGGGCACAAACCAGGATTAGCAATAAGAGGTTCAAATTGCAACTACTTAGATTTTATTTAAGTTTAGGGAAAATCTTCCTGATTATAAAATCAGTCAAACAGTAGAAGACTATCAATTGAAGTTTTTGGCTGTCCATCCCTGGAGAATTATATATTTTTTAAAATAGACAGTCACTTTTCAGAATAGTTTTGTACACTAGTTTGGTACACTTTACAGAGAGTTGGACTAGCCCATACTGTCCCAGCCTTAGCAACTGTAAGACTGTGGACTTCAACTCCCAAAATTCTCCAGTTTACATGCTGGCTGGGGAATTTTGGGAACTGAACTGAACTGTAACTTAAAATTGTCAGGATTGGAATGCATAGGAATAAGCAATTCCTCTGGTCCCTCCCAGCTCTACAGTTCTTGGTTGTTTATGATTTCAAATGTCTTGAATACAATTATTAATCTCCGGGGACTGAAACCTAAAGAAGAGGGGGGCCGGGGTGGGAGGCACTGGGCTTGGAGGGCAGGACAGAGAAAGAAAGATATGGGGTTTGATGAAGACTTGCCAAGAAAGCTACTGTTTCTTGATTAACTTTTCCCTCCCCTGACACTCTCCTGCTCTTCGGAATGGGCTAAGACGGGCAGCTACTGATCTCTTTTGAGTGGCGTCATTTTAATAGGCGTCCAGCTGAGGGCTTCTTAGGAACGAGTGTCCTGATGTCTACCTGCCTCCTCGGGAGGACTCAATAATTCAGGCGGCAGCTGGCAAGAGACCAAGCTTCCCTCCCCTCCCTTCCCCTCCCCTCCTCTCCCCCACTCTTGCCGCCTCCTCTTCGCCTGCCCTCCCATCGCTACCTCCAGCCTCCCCTAACGCAGCCATGAAGGAGAGTTGAGCTCTGCCACCTTCAGTTGCTTTTACAGCGCAGGAAGTTGGCACCGGGCAGCTCTTGCTGTTAACGGGATCCCGGGGGACTGAAAAGAGGCAAAGGCAAAGGGAGGGAATCCGGAGGGAGAGTTTTTCTTGTGGGAAGTAGGAGGCTGTCGGACTCCCGGACTTCGTGATGGACCCCAAGGAGCGGAAGAAAATCCAGTTTTCGGTACCTGCGCCGCCCAGCCAGCTGGATCCCCGTGCAGTGGAAATGGTAAGGAAGGACACATGGGGGGGAGGGCAGCGAAGGGAGGGATTCGAGGCGTGGAAAGAAGTTGGGAAAGTAGCAATGGTCAATCTCCTTCCCTTTCTTTCCCTTCTTTTGCGGAGTTTCTTCTCTGAAATATTTCTGTTTATTAGGCACAGAAGTACATCCAGTGAGTGCACTGACTGCTGTTTAAATGCAAACTTACACATACATGCCACTTGCGGGCACTGAGGTAACTTAGCAATGCTTAGAACCAGACTAAAATCATTGGGATTTCAGTTAAAGTTACCAACTGTGGGTTTTCAAAGCATTAGCCCACAGAGGAAAAAACAAGATCTTTAGAAACTGTTTTGGACTTACTTCCAAATCGTCCTTTTATGTTCTCAAATAGTTTATATAAGGTGATTATTAAAATCATACATGTTCCCTATAAATAATGCCTGTTTGTGCTTATACCATACTCTGTGAATATTCTTGTTTACTTTCTAATTGGTTTTATTATATTGTTTAACTTTTAGTAAGTCACTTTGGGAAGATTTTTTTTTCAGTGATATATATGATTGTAAATATAATCAGGTAAATAAAAAATTCATTGCTTAATACGTATTACATTTCTTAACACTATATGGGTCTTCATATTTGTGTAGCATTGGAATATATAAAGACACAGAAAGATAAATCTGTGAATGCATGTCAGAAAACTTCCATGAACCCAGAGAAAAAATACAGTACTCCTGTCTTTTGTAATAGTACATATAGTTAATAAACTGTATAGGTCTATATTGGTCACAACTGGACGCAAGATCTTTTCTGATATATGTGCAGAGGCAAGTTAATGATAATTATGTATAGTTATCCATCTAAAGTCTGCACCTGCTCAAACTTTTTTACACAGTTATAAACCTCTTATATGCAAATTCTCACATCTGATGCAGACTCTTAGCTTTTCACACTTGCTAATGTGATCTGTATGATTCCTGAATAGATTTTCATACCAAGTGGTGAAAAATGCCTTGAAAAAATTGGCTCACCTCTTTTGTAATAAATGCATCATTCCTAACTCCTCAGTATGATAATATCTATATTATATTAAATCCCGATCACACCCCAGTCATCATTGAAGAAGTTACTATATCAGAAATTTGATTTCTGGTGAATTGCTATATGAAAAATTAAGGAAGATATATTGCAACCAAAGCCCAGGAATCAAGGATCCAGCTTTGAAGCTCTTTTGGGTCCTGGCCTCCCCATAACAAACAGGAGATTTCTTAATTGGTCATGGATCTGCAACCTTCTGCAAAATATAAATAACTTATATTTTGGGTGTGTATAGAATTAAAATAGTAGAATTTGCATATTAGAAGAACAATAAAATCTAAGGTTTGTTTTTAGGGACATGGTGAGTTCATTGTATTGTATCGTATTGTATTTATTACATTTCTATGCTGCCCTATTCCCGGAGGGACTCAGGGCGGCTTACAAACCAAAGTAGGGAGAGGGAATACAAACAGGAGGGAAAGACAACGGACAAACAACTACAAACAATTTAAAATTCATGCTTTATCATTGGCTATTATGCAAATAGTATCACTCATAATGTTATCTATGGAACTAAATATTCATTTACTCACTTATCTACCATAGTTGCAACATCACACTAGCTTAACTTAACTGTTAAAACTGGATTCAAACATTGTACTAAAGTATAAACCATAGTTATAATGCTGGGTTCAAATTAAGCTAACCCACCCACCCCACTTTATGACTGAATACAATATGTAACTCTGCAGAGAAAAAGGAGAGTAGGATGGTGAAAGACGCTAGCACTGTGAAATAAATTCAGGTATAATAATGTATCAGCACCCAATCAATAAAGACCAAGCATATATTGCCCATCACTGGTAAATACATACACACAGGAACATAGGGTCAAGGATGCCAAATTTGTAAAGAATGGTGTAAAAAGACCACACAATGTCAAAATGCTGTGTGTGTGTGTGTGTGTGTGTGTGTGTGTGTGTGTGTGTGTGCACACATTTGAAGGCCTGGCAGTTTGATTTTTTCTCTCTCTCTCTAGCTTTGGTGCATAGGCTCTTTAAGGTAAAGAGTCAGAAGATAGCTAAAATAGATTTAACATCTAGGCTGCTAAATGAGGCTCAGTGCGCTGCTCAAAACAGCCTGGTAGTTGTAGTCATACTAATATGCTGAACTTGGTTATTAAATTAGCTTATTGTCTAGCTCACTGAACCATAAACTCACCAAGCAGGATGGTTTTGCAGAACATAGTAAATAGCATAATAAAAACCCAAATTCTGTCTACACAAATTAAAAATAGTGAAGCTCAGTAGAGTGTATAAATTCCACCACTAGGTCTGTATCTCACTTGTTAAAGTGAGTTTATTTATTCTTTATTTAATTTCTATATTCATCTATCTCAATCAATGATTCTGGGCAGCTTACAATTCAAAAATATTCTGCAATTAAAACAAAAACACATTATAATAAAAACAATATATATAGCAGCTGAAATAATTTGTTGTGTGACTATGAGCCAGTTGTAAGGGAATATTTGATTCCAGGTTTACCAAGTGTTTTCAAAACAGACTGCCATTTAAATGAGCTGGAGGCCAGAACAACTGAAGTCTCTTGCCCATCACCTCTTTGATGCCTCCTAATTAAGTTTTCTCTTAAATCTTTTTCTGGGTAAGAAAGACTTTATGCCCCCTCACATTTCCAGGCAGCGGATTATAACTGCTTGTTTAAGATAAACCTGAGGAGAGAGCAGGAACAGGTAGACTGGTCTGGAAACACAGAGTACAGGCCTGCAAGGTAGGTATGCCTGGCAAGAGAAACTCAATAGTTGCCCCATGAATGCTTACAAGGATATAGGTCACTCATTCTCTCTTCAGCGTCCCAGCTACCAAAATATGGCATCAGTGTGAAATTTGATCTCCAACACTTTCCATTGAGATATTTGATGGCAATCTTTGATATTTAACCTGAAAACAGATTTTATTCGAATAAAATAAGGCCAGGCAAGTATTGGGATTTTTGAAAACTTGTTAGGAATGCTCTCATAAAATGGCTGCCACAAAAACGATTTGTCTAAACACAGCCTATTTGTATTAGGAGAAATGGCCCATAATAGCCATTTATATAAGACAATCCTTTGCCACATATTCCAGCTCTCCAGGATACATCCTACCATACATGGTTTACTTTTTGTTTGCATAAATGTGCACATTTAAAAATAAAGTACTGGACTGCACAGAGATTTTGTTTCAACATTCCATCTCTCTAGTTCTCTCTCTGATTCAGGAGAAAAGGAAATCTCATAGTACCAAGGAGACATCAAGAACACAAAACAACTTTCAATTGTCTATCCAAGCTTGAATAGTTAGTGGTCTGCCTTGTATAAGCCACTTTGCTTTCCATTTGAATCTGTGGGTTGCATAAATTGTCTCATAAACTATATATGAGAAGGATCCTCATCTCTCTTATCAGGCTCAAGACATATAGTACAGTGATGGGATTATTATTATTTTTTACTACCGGTTCTGTGGGCATGGCTTGGTGGGCTTGGCATGGATTGGTGGGCATGGCAGGGGAAGGATACTGTAAAATCTCCTTTCCTTCCCTACTCCAGGGGAAGATTACTGCAAAATCCCCATTTCCTTCTGATCAGCTGGGACTCGGGTGGCAGAGAATAGATGGGGGTGGGGCCAGTCAGAGGTGGTATTTACCAGTTCTCTGAACTACGCAAAATTTTCATTACCGGTTCTCTAGAACTCATCAGAACCTGATGAATATCACCTCTAATGCAGTACATTAATTTTACTATGTATCATTTCAATAGCAATGATACTATATATTTCCCCTCCTTGCAGCCTTCAAGGGATGCTTAAAGTTAAAGATTTCCCTTACTCCCAGGTAACCAAAAGTGCAGGTGAATGGAATTAAAACGTACAAATCTGGAAAAGCCTAGTTTGGAGAAGTTAGTCTGCTAAGTATTGTGGCTAAAGTCCATAGCCTCCATCCCTCCACACTTTTTCATAAGTGGAGTAAAATCAACAACAGAAAGATAGTAACAGTGGAGCTGGAAGTCTTTTTCTTATTCCCATGCTCCATGTTTTCCTCCTCTCTGGACTGCTAATGAGATCAGTAAGTCAGATCCTCTGGCATAAAAGGGATATCCTTAATCCAACTATGCAGCTACTGGATGCTTCCCCCAATGCTGCAGGCTATAACTGTGTTCAAGCCATGAATATGGCACAAAGAGTTATAGCCATGGAATTCTGGCAACAGGAACTCCACACTCCTTTTTTCTTGTGATGTCTGATGTTGCTGGTGGAATGGAAAGGCACCCTGAAAGCAACACCTTAATTGTGCCCCACAAGCTGTAAGGTCTTGGAACAATGCTGGGCAGTTGATTTCAGTACAGAAAAATGTTACCAATCACAGATTCCAAACAATCTACACGGACATCTGTTATTCATTTCTCCTGGAAAAACAATAGGGATAGAGAAGTCATAAATGTAGCCCCAAAGTATGAATTGACTCTTCCTCCATATTTCTCCAATCTCTTGTTATGAGAAGCAAAACAAAACTTCTATTTGATTTCTCTTCTAGATCCGTCGTCGGAGACCAACCCCAGCTTTGCTTTTCCAGCTTTCAGAAACCTCCCCTGGTGAGTCATGATTTTTTTTATTAAACCAGAAGAAAGGAATGGAGGGCTTGGGTGTGGGGAGTAAAGGTACAAGAATAAGCACTGATGCACTGAGCTGCACAAGACAAGCAGTGGCTCTGTGGCTAAGACACTGAACTTGTCGATCAAAAAGGTCAGCAGTTCAGCAGTTCGAAACTCTAGTCTGCATAGTGGAGTGAGCTCCCGTTACTTATCCCAGCTTCTGCCAACCTAACAGTTCAAAAGCATGTAAAAATGCAAGTGGAAAAATAGGGACCACCTTTGGTGGAAAGGTTCCGTGCATCTTCGGTATTTAGTCATGCTGGCCACATGACCACAGAGACATCTTCTGACAGCACTGGCTCTTCGGCTTTGTAACAGATTTTGATATTTTCTTCTGGGATTGTTTGATTATTGCATTTACAAAGACCATTTACGAACATCTTGTTTATCAGCAACACCTACAATTTCTATGTAAAATTAGTTAATGCTCTTTGTCCCATATGGAATAACGTAGAAGAAAGATTGGCAGAGTCAAAGGGAAGAGTAAAAAGAGGAATCAGGCTACAATCCTTACATAGCCACAAACAAACTAAATCTATCCCTCCTTGTGTGCTATTGACCCTTATTTAACTATAACCAGGTGCTGATCATTAGTTGAGAGTATTCCTGTGCATAGGCTTTTAGAAAATAAATAAATAAAATAAATTGAACCTGAAGGTGTGGCTTTGATTTTATCCACCTGTCAAATGTGTAAAAAATGGAAACTCTAAATTTTTGACAATTATTTCATAAGGTTGCAAATGTAAAGTGATCTGAGATTGCTCTTCTTTCACTAGTTCAGTATGGCTAGTTCAGTAAGGGGCATATTTGCATGCGTCCCTGCTTGTGAGTGAGTACACAGAGCTTATTTAGCAAAGCCTAGCAAGAAATTGAAACATGGGGGTTTGGCTTTGTCTGCCTGAAATAAACAGGGAACAAAGCTGAGGCTCCATTTAGCTTTTAATGGCTTCATTCTCTGGCTTCTTCCAGGCAAGCAAAGCCAGAATCCTGCATTTGTGCAATGTGCTAACTTGGTTAACAGGCCATAGAGGAGCCAGCATGAATATAAGAAGAGCCCCCTTCGACCAGGCTATAGATCACCTTGTCCAGCACTATGTCATATATTATAATTGCCCACTGGATTCATTTTGGAATGATTCTCCTAATTTTGCTTTGCAGCAACCAATATTTCAGGCATGCTAACTGTAATTCAGGACATTGTAAATAGCAACCAGTATTACTGCTAGGGGCCATTGATCAGGAGGAGTCTGATAGCACCTTTTCAGACTAATACATTTTATTAAGAAAAAAAAGCATTTCTGAACCACAGCTCATTTAATCAGATCTATTGAGGGGCTAACTGATATAGGATTTAAATTGAGATGTGTAGGAAGACAATAAAAAGGGGAAGGCATATGCAAGCTACATGTAGAACATATTATAATTACATTATCAAGTGTCAATTATAAAGTGTTACAAGTCCATCGTATTTCTTAAAATCTTCTGAGATGGCTTCAAATCCTTTGATGTATGTGAGTTCAACAGTTTCTTGCTCAATTATCTTGGTGAAGTTTCCTTGTTCCAGGACAGCTGTTTTGAACATATACTGCTAGCCATCAGTAGCTTGAAAGTCCACAAAATCATTTAGTTCCTATTCAAAAGACACCCAGATAGGTTGCCATTATCAAAGCTGCTAGCAGCTACTCCATAGCTTCATTATGTACAATATAGATATGCATTTTCTTTTCTTGATCCTGAATCTCCCAATATCTAGTGGGAGTGGATGATCTTGAGTTCCAAACTGATTGTGCACAAGTACTTCTCTTTTCGCATTATTTGTGGCATACATGATTTTATATATTTTTCTCATGTCTCCAGTTATCCTTTTTTCCTAGGCTAAAAGAGCTCTCATTGGTGTGGTCTTTCAATATAGGAGAGTTGTTCCAGTCCCATAATCATTTTTTTGCATTTTCTGCCCTTTTTTGCACCTGCAACTCTAAAGTCTTCTACAGGTAGCCCTTGTCTTATAACCATACTCTTTGTGATCGAAATTACAAAGGCAGTGAAAAAAGTGACCTATCACCAATCCTCACACTTATAACCATTGCCGCATTCCCCACATCACATTGTCAAAATTCAGGCACTTGGGCAACCTCCACATAATTACAATAGCTGCAGCATCATGAGGTCATATGATTGCCATTGTGGGCCTTCTCAAGTGGCTTCCATCAAGCAAAATCAGTGGGGGAAATTGGATTCATTTAATGACCACATAAAACTCTTAACAAGTACAATGATTTGCTTTAAAATGATGGCAAAAAGGCTGTAAAATCAGAAGCTTAACTCATTTAACTACCACCTTGCTTAGCAATGGAAATTCTAGTCCCAGTTATAATCATAAGTTGAGGCTACTTGCATTTGAGGAGAGATCAGAGTTTCGCACAGGGAATTTACTATAGATTTCCCTCACAACATACGATATTGGCACCTGTATTTAAACTCCCTTACTAATCATCCCAAGTATGGGTTTTGCACCTCTTTGTTTTAACATTCACACACAAATGACATTTTCATTTTGCTGCCCGCCATTCCTATAAGACTCACTTCCTGATTATGCATCACCAGCTCAGAACCTTTTGTGCCAGTGTGCATGATTTTATATTGGCTTAAGTATCAGTATGTCCCTTCCCCAGTTTTATTGCTTAGCATGACAAGCAAAAAGAGTTTTAGATTCATGTTGTTTATTTGAATTTAGCTAAATGTATTGTGCAAAACCAGCCATGACTTTGGCTTTAGCTCACTGTGACTCTAGTGATTTCCCACTAGTAAGCCCTTTGAGTCAATGGGATTCAATTTGTGAATATGTTTCTGCTGCCAAACCTGGGCCAAAGAGATACCAGTTCAGAAATAAAGCATTTCTATATTTGAAAAGAGAAAAATGAGAGAGAGAGATCTGTACAGGCAAGCATTTGCTCTCCTCCTACTCACTAAAACAACTTCTCCTCCTCCTTCTAGCAAAATGCATTCTTTTTTCAATAAAGCTTATCCCTGGAGTTTTTTATTTTCTTTCCTTCTTTTTTGTTCTGAAAGTTTAGCTCCAGGAACCAGGAAGGGTATCTTCTGTAGCCCTTCTCTGAACAATAGCCCTGCTGTTGTACACGGAAAGGCATGGTGTTCATAACAGGCCTTACCTATTCCACAGGCCTGCTTCCTCCCAGGGAGCATTCCTTAATGCTTTTTCCAGCAAAGTTTGTTTGGCTAAGAGATTTATACAGGCACAGGAGTGAATAAACAGTTTATTTTTTTTAACTTAATTTCAGCTGAATTTGCTTGCAGTTGGCTATGTTTCATATTTAAGAGTTGGGTGTTAAACGTGTGGCTTTTCACTGTGTGGGTGATACAGTGCTTTTCTTTCTTGTGAAGAAATTAGCAACCTACCACTTCAGGGCTACACTAGGAGACATGGCCTCTAAAAAACCCCACCTTATTTTATTTTATTTTGCACCTAAACAGTTAGTTGATCACAAATGCCATATATCAGTGATATAAATGCCCCCCCCCCCAGCCCTCAAGCCATTCTGTGGGTATACCTGAAGCGGAGGGGGAGAGAGAGAAAGAAAGAGAGAGTTTTTAAAAACTTATTTATTTAGCTGGATACTGACTTTAGTCTATTTATGGTTTAGTTGCTTAATGGATCACATTCTTAACAGCTAAACACAGGTGCCTCCATGCTGCTTCCATGCTGCAAGGAATGGATTTAACCAAGTGATTATTAAACAGAAATTAACATTTAGCCTATCTAAGTGTTTGAATATAATGGTGTGAGGAAAATTCTTTGCAAATCACAAGTATAATTGGCTCCTCATGGTGCAGCTGAAACAATTCTACCCCTGACTGTGAATGTCCACTATATGAATATATACACATACATATAAATATTACCAAAAGTAACTGCCTATGTGGAGGCGTTCACTAAAATAATTGGCATGTTGTGTTGACTTGAAATAGTTACATTTGCAGAAACTATCAGCCCAGCTGCTTAGCTATGGAAATGAATTAAGTTATAACACCAATGCGAGTTTGGTACACCAAGTTTGGTCAATTATTTGTTTAGCGAGTGTTCAAAAGTTACAGAAGCACTGAAAGTAGTTTATAACTGGTCCTTGTGCTTACAATTGTTTCAGCATCCTTATGGTTATGTAATCAAAATTTGAACATCTGGCAACTGGCATGGATTTATGATGCTGGCTTCCCAGCCATCTTCTCACAAATACAATCAATGGGGGAAGCCAGTTTCCCTTAACAATCATATGATTCACTTAATAACTGTGGTGATTTACTTAACTGTGGCAGAAAAGGTTGTAAAATCAGGCATGACTCACTTAACAACCTCTTTGCTTAGCATTGGAAATTCTTGTTACAATTGTGGTTGTAAGTCAAGGACTATCTGTATAACATAGTCAAGAGCCATTGTTTTTATCTTTTGGACCTATGGTGTCAAAGAGAAGTATGCTTTATATTTGTTTTTCCTTTTTTACTCATAATGTTCTCTTTTTCTTTTGCCCTCCCTATACTCTTCACACTGCTTTGTACAGAAGATGAAGCATCCCCATATCAGGTCAGTATTGTGGATTATTTAAGATGCTATAAGCTAAGCTGCTGGACTTCACCATTCCCAAGACTGAATGGTCAAGGCTAGTGTAGTAGTGTAGGGTGTTGGACAAAATCAGGAGACCCAGGAGTAAGGCCATCTCCAACAATAGAAACTCATTGGATTTCTTCAGGACAATTCCTACCTGTTATCTCAATTTATTTCACAGGGTGATCATCGTGATTATTAAATTGAGAAAGGGAGTATTATGTATACTTGAGCTACTTGAAGGAAAGTTGTGATATAAATCTAAATGTATACTTAAATGCCACTATATTTTTCTTTACTATAGAGCTATCAACAGAATTACCATTAAACTGCCATTAAACCATCTTATCCCTAAACTGGAGCAACTGGTCAGATTTAACCACAAATTTGCAATTTAGACTTATATACCATCCCATAGCTTTATAGTACATTCTGGGCTGTTTACAATGTAGCAGCATCATTTGCAGATTGCCACCAACAATCTGGGTCCTCATTTTACTTTGGATGGACCAATACACCACCAGGGTTCATTGGAATAATAAATAGCACAAACAGAAGATGGGGAAAAACTGATTTGGCTGAGAATGCTGCTTGCCTGCTGTTCCTTAGAATTCCTGAGACCCTATGTTGCTTTGGAAAGATCCTTTCTAACTTAATTCTTAGAGTTGGTGGCTCAGGTACCACTACAAGACATCATGATTCGAAGTAGCAGAGATGGCACGCATGGGACTTCTTCCGTCAAACATGCCATCATGTTGAATCTGTGAAGCAGCATTCATAATTGAAATCCAAATGCCAGACCCTGTTAACCTTTTACACGGTTTCTAATTCTGGCTGGTCCACTAAGCATTTGGATCAGGAGATTAAGGGAACTCTGCTGGCAATGCAGCTTTTATTATTTTGGGTTAATGTTTAACCTCGGGTATCATAGGATGGGTGGTTGTTGTTGTTTTTTACTTTGTATGTTGTCCCTTTTGTGAAAAGAGTGGCACTATAAATTATATAAATAAATAGGACTCACAGAGGCTATAGATCAGTGATGGCGAACCTTTTCGGCGTGGAGTGGCCAAACTGGAATGCGTGTGCATGCGCGTGCACACACCAGCCAGCTGGTGTTCAGGTTTCCAACATACTCATATGCACCCGCCAGCTCGTCTTCGTGAAGCACTGAAAACTCAAAGACCAGCTGGCCAGAGCGTGCATGCCTGTTTTGGGGGCATTTTGGGGGTCGTTTTCATGCCATTTTGGGGGCCATTTTCACACTGTTTTTGGCCCCAAAACATCCTGGAAATGGCCCCAAAATGACCCCAAAACCAGGCTGTTTTGGGGGCATTTTTGAGGCTGCTTTCTGGTGCTCTGCCATCCGTGAAGACCAGCGCACTAGAAACCAGAAGGGCAGCTGGTGACGGCACACGTGCCCACAGAGAGAGTTCTTTGTGCCACCTCTGGCACATTTGCCATAGGTTCACCATCGCAGCTATAGGTAATAGCTTTTCTAATCAACAGATTGGTAGACAAAAGTATCTATAAGAGTTGGGGATGCAGAAACTATTCCCAATTGCAAAGATGCACATGTCAGACCTGTGCATGACTCAGTGCTCTTGGTTTATCTCCTTCCAACCTGGAAGCCTACTCAAGTCCATGATTCATTCTGGAGTGTAAGGGTTGTGAAACCTCCAAAGGCATGTAAAAGTTAGTCTTGTATATTCTCAGGCACTGTCATTTGGAGTGGAACAGTTGAGAGTTTATTCTGTTTTAATTAACAGAAAATATAGATCTGTGAGTCACAATCAAAGAAGGATAAAACTAGTTGTGAATTCCACAGAATACCGTGTATCAGCTAGCCTTCAGATTGTTTTGAATAACAGTGAAGATGGGATGAGGTGATTTCTGAAGGAGGAAGAGTGACAGAACATGAGGACAGAGTTTAAAGGGGATCAGCCTAGAAAGTCTACATAGCCACAAGTGAACAAAATCCAACTCCTCTTAAATGCCTATTGATCCTTGAGAAGATTAATGTCAGGTGTGAAACATTAGGTCGCAGTGAAGAGGCCAGTTAAACTGATTTAGTGCTAATCATGCTTATCCAGAGGAATCTTCTTAACTAAAGGTTAGAACCTGCACGGAATACAAGGGGAGGGTTAGACTTAGGCTGTTTGCGTCTACATAGGGATTTTAGGCTGATCTCTCTTTTAACTCCCTGCCCCCCCCCCCCCCCCGCCAAGGTTCCGCCATTCCTCCTACAATTTCAGTCAAATAAAGGGAGAATTAAACCACCTCTCTAGCACCATAGTTTAGATGTTTCAAAAGAGCTTTTTTCTTTTATATGTGTATAATCAGTGCCAACTAATGCATTTTGAAAATTATGGGATTTATATCCCATATATATGGGATTATTGGATTCCTACATTTGCAGGCGATATTAGATACAGGAAGATTGCCTAGTGTCTATTTAGCAGTATATTGACTTTAGTCCACTTACAATCCTATTCATTAATGGCCCAAATTTTAAATAGCTAAACATGAAGACAGCTGCTTCTTTGCTGTACATAACAGATTTGACCAATTTATTGGTAGCAACCCATTTCATATATATTGTATTATAAGCTGTCCAGAGTCATTGAGGTGGGTAGCGATAGAAATTGAATAAATATTTATTTATTCTTTACACTACTTGAATGCAATTGGGTGGGGTGGGGTGGGGGAACAAATTCCATGCAACAAACAATTGCAAGGCAAAAATTGAAGACAGTTGCCTACCAGCCTGCCTTCAGTCATTTGCTTTGAGATAAGCCATATTTCACAATTGTGAGGGTTGACCATGGTTCATATTATTCATGTTTATTTAATACAGAAAAAAGTTTTAGCAATCTTTACAGCAAATCTTTTTTCATCATTTAAAAACAAACGGATCACATTCACTGTATATGATCTTTCTTGCCACTAATCTCAATTAAGGAAAAGCTTGCCTGTTTTTTTTTTTTTAATGTGGTCATCTGCTGTGACCAAGAGAGAACCAGTAAAATCACATTCCTGTACAAAAACATTACCCTCCTTCTATGATAGTGAGTGTGGTCTAAATATCTTTCCGCAGATGTTTGCTGAGAATAGGGTTATCAGATGTCTGGAAAAAGGAGGAAATATCCTCATTTTTTCCTCTGCCCCACAGGATAGACTTGAAATTAAATATTGTCTAGTTCAATAGACAATAGACAGGGGTCTCCAACCTTGGTAAGAGGTTGGCAAGAATTTCTCAGCAGTTTTGCTGGCTGAGGAATTCTGGGAGTGGAAGTCTACAAGTCTTAAAGTTGCCAAGGGTAGAGACCCCTGGTCTAGTTGTTTGAGAATCTTTTCCTGAGCACCTTTTCTTCATGGCAGGGAACATCTCTAATAAATGTTAACGTAAGTTTTCAAGCTCTGCTGTGTGACTTTGATTAGTTACCTTCCCAGGCTTGGGCTGCTGCCTGAAATTGATAAGATCTTAACCTCCTAACTGGTTCTAGCACATTCCTGTGATTGAAAAATCAGTCTTTCTGATGCTGGAAAAATTAATGTCATATTATATGCAGGACTAATTTCTAATGTCATATTATATGCAGGACTGGTTTCTAATTTTTTTAATGTTCTGGATGCCATGAAGGTTAAATGTGGGTCCTCTTTTCCCCCATTTGTCCTCTTTTCCTATTGTTTTTTCCTTTTTGCCTATTCAGATATTTGGTAACTCTGCTGTGTGTGTGTGTGTGTGTGTGTGTGTGTGTGTGTGTGTGTTTGTGTGTGAAAGAGAGGGAGGGAGGGGGGGAAGAGGGAGAGGAGGATGAAGAGAGAGAGAGACAGAGAGAGAGAGAGAGAGCGCGAATAGGACACAATTACAAAATGGAAGGGAGTTGATCTAACTTAGAGATATTACACTAAAGCTATTGAGCTTTATAAAGTTATAGCTTAACAAGTTATATAAATCTGGACAACTAGAAATAAATCAGAATTTGACATGGTATGCAACCCCACTAATTAAATCTTTATCAGGGAGATGAAGGAATAAATGTTATTATAGCCGACTTTGAAAAGTAGCACCAGAACTAAAGGCTATATAGTGTGAATAGCAACTATTTTGCTTCTCAGTTTTCTCGGTATTCTCTGGCCTCTTCCCTTCACCGATAGCAAGCAGGGGTGAGAGAAGTCAGGGTCAGTAGATGAGAATTTTGCAGCTCTGCATTTCCTTACTCAAACAAAAGGCTTTACAGGCTGCAGAATGGCCCTGCTACACTAAGAGACTTTGGAATTTACTAAAAAAAGATATATTTTTTTGCTGTTAAAGCGCAGCTTCCCCACCTCCACCTGAGCCTCCCGCAGAGCAAATTTATTTTGGCCTGCATTTTTCCATGACTTTTGCTTCATCTTCAATCACATTAACGTAGCCTTTATTGAGTGTATAGTTTTCCTTAAGAGAACTCCCAGGTCTCTTTTTTGGGGTTATTTTTGGGGAGATTGTGTGGGAGGGGGAGGAAGGAACCAAACATGCAGCACACTACATAAAAGTCACATCTGAAACAAGTATTATGTATAAAAATAAAAAGAACCAATAAACGAAGTCAGTATGCAGATTTTCAAAACAAATGGAGTTCAGTTTATTGGTAGGACTGAAGAGAACGTGGCTTTTAAAAACTGGTGTTTATTCTGTGATGCAGTCCATTCTACGGTCATGTTGCTGAATGATTCCATTTTAATTCTCCAGTTGCGCCTAACCACAGCATAAACACTGGGGAATTTTTTTCCCCCCTGCTATGTCCTCATGATGGTGCCTTTATCATGTCTCCAGCCCGTGGGTGAAACTCCTAGAATCATTTTTAGCATGTTAATGCAACCTTTTCCACTTGAGGCAACAATGTAAAGCTATGCCCACAAGATGCAAAAACCCTATTTTACCTTATTTTTTTTCTGAGAAGTTAGGTAATCAGTAGGGAATGGGATAAAGAGAGGCA